ATAATAGCATTCCTCGCAGAGGTGGAGATCTGGTGACCTGTACTACGGGTATCTTACCCACCATTGGCGCCAGCGATCCACAGGCAAAAATGTTTTGTACTACTTATATGCTACTTATAACTATAAATGTAACTTTGTTTGTGGTGAGAAATAAACGTTATTATTATGTGGGGGTATCAATATAGTTTTCTCATCTGGTTGGGTACATAAATATATAATTATAAATGGAAATGAAAAGATAAATATACATAAATAACAATAACATAAAATAAATATAAAAATACATATATAAATAAAAGCCCTACCAGATGGAGGCCCCCGGCAGGGGAGACCAAACGGCCGAGGGTTAGGGGGGAAAGGGAAAGAAACCGGCGGACGATGCGGGCGGTATCTTGGAGCACCGCCTTCTGTATTTGAGCCTGGAGCGGTCCGCCACGTAGCCCCAGCCGCCTCAGATGACCCGAGAGGCTGACTGGGATTAGCCCGTTTGCAGAGACGACTACAGGAATAATTTCGGTCTGCAGACCACCCCACATGTCGGTCACCTCGTGAGCCAGGTCCAGATATTTTGTTTGCTTGTCTGTTTCGGCTTTAACGAGGTTCTCGTCACACGGAATGGTAATGCCGACCAAAAATATCCTTGACTCTGCCCGGTCCATCAGCACAATATCAGGCTTATTCGCAAGAATAGTCCTGTCTGTGATGATGGCCCGGTCCCAATAGAGCCTGGCGCGATCATTTTCGAGCACGGCTTCCGGCAAGTACTTCTAATACGGCAATTTCCGATCCACGAAACCGTATTTTACAGCGAGCTCCTGGTGTAGAATTCTGGCTACTAGGTTGTGCCTGTGCAAGTACTCAGAGTTAGAAAGCGCCGAACAACCGGAGATGACATGCCTAAGTGACTCACCGGGATGGCGACAAGCTAGACAGATGTCGATGGTGCCATCCTTTAGGATGTATCTCCGATAGATGTTGGTCTTAATAACCTGATCCTGTATTGCACAGACAAAACCCTCGGTTTCCCCGAAGAGGTCACCAAAGCGTAGCCAGTGGAGGGAGGTTACTGCGTCTACGAAAGGCCCATGTAGGGACTTGTAGAACCTCCCGTGGAGCTCCTTCTCCTTCCATACGGTCTCCCGGTCGGAAATTGTCTGCACTGCCGGGTCTTGCCATTGCTCGTTGGCTAAGGATAAAGGGATAAGTCCTTTATCACAAGAAATGACGTCCTGATAGAATGGATCATCCGATCTCGCCAGGAAGTAATTACAGAGGCTGCACACTTCGCGATTATGCATGGTGAGCGCGCTCAAGAAGCCACGCCCACCATGCTTTCGCGGCAACTACAGCATCATTACCGACGATCTCGGATGATGCATCCTGTGGGACGTCATGGTAGTGCGGACTTTTCTATCCAGGGCGTTAAGTTCAGTCTGAGTCCACCTGAGTATGCCAAAGGTATACATGAGGACAGGAATGACCCAGCCGTTATATGCTTGTGTCTTATTCACACCGGACAAAAGGCTGTTAAGCACTTTGGTCAAGCGTGCATAAAACACGTCGCAAACTGACTGTTTCATACCTGCCTCATCGATACCGATGTTCTGTGACATACCCAGGTATCGGTATGTTTCGGAAAGGGTCCTTAAAATGACGGGCATAGATAAGTCTATGCCCTCAGAGTTAGCAACCCTACCCTTCTCAACATGGAGTACCGCACACTTATCCGTCCCCAGCTCCATTCCAATGGAATTGTTAATTACAAAAGTGATGTTTAGCAATTCCATAAGATGGGAGCGACTGGAGGCGAATAACTTGAGGTCATCCATATAGAAAAGGTGGGTCACTTTTTGTCCCTCATTTCCGTAGCTGAAATCCCCTCCCGGAGCCCTCCAGTAAGGTACTGAGAGGGTTCAGAGAGAGGCAGAACCATACTGGACTCAGACAATCGCCCTGGAAGATACCCCTTCCTATCCTTATGTGGTTCTCCGCAGCCATCATCCGCTCAAACGCAACAAAGGATCGTACTCCATTGCTCCATACACTGCTCGAGGAAGTCTCTAACTGTACAGTCTATCTTGTACAGCTCGAGGACTCTCTTTAGCCATGTATGGGGCACCGAGTCGAATGCCTTTCTGTAGTCTATCCAGGCGGCGGAGAAGTTCCGACGGTTGAGTTTCACCACTTTGCCAATGACCGCGTCAATGAGGAGTGGTTCCTTGGTTCCACGACCGCCGCCCCGACATCCATTTTGTGCACGCGACATCACCTGATTTGAGTCCAGGTGACGAGTGATTCTCGAGCTCAAAATGGATGTTAGTGTCTTGTATATGGTCGGTAGACACGTGATGGGGCGCTATTTGCTCGGGTCTGTGGTACCCTGGCCTTTAGGAACCAAATGGGTGATCCCAGTAGTGAAGAGGCTCGGGAGCGACTTCTGGTTGAGAACCTCTTGAAACTGTTGGGCGAGCACAGCATGACAAACAACGAACTCCTTCAGTCAGTAGTGATGCAGTCCATTGAGCACCGGAATTTTCCAGTTCGGGGCCCTACGGACCGCCTCAGCCACGTCATCCGGCGTTATGGTGACGGGGTCCATGGGCGTAATACTCGCACACTGACTCGCCACAACTTCCGTCCAAGGGCCCTCGTTGTGGTTTACGGGCTCTGACCACAGGCCGCGCCAGAATGCGACCGTGTCGGCCTGATCCGGTACTGGGCCCGTTCCACTTACCACTGGTCGCTCCAATGATTTATAGAGCCTCTTCTGATCACTCTGGAAGTGACGATTCTGGTTGAACCGCGTCGACCTCTCGGTATATCGCCGAATTTGCTTTCCCCAAGCAGCGATTCTCTGCTTCAGGTCGTCTATGCGCTCCGTCAGTTTCTGCATGATATCTGGCTGGGACAAACTAACATTTGTCCCAGCAAACGCCATTCTAACGGTGCGCACAATATTCGGCCTGTTATTGCCTGACCTGAAGCTTATCAGTCTGCAGATGAAGGGCCCTAGCCTTTGCGATACGTTCCTCAATTCTTGTTCTCCAGGCTGGGATATCACTACTTTGTCGAGTAGTGCGTCCAGCCGTGGAAAGTTTGGCGCCTATAATACGGCAGACTGCCAGTGCGGCGCCAAAAGAATTCAGTCCGTCTCGCAAAGGTCCCGGCTGGCTTCCAAATAGGTCACCAGCATTGGGTTCAGAGCCCTCAGGACAGCCGGATTCCGCTTGCTTAGGGCTATGCGGGGGAAGTCGCGGTCGATTTTCGAGAGGCGTACTGCGCATTTCCATAATCGCCTCTACCAATGTACTCCTCATTTGCTTATTTCTAGTTCCTGGGTGAATGTTCCATCATCGTTTGAATCAGCAACCACAATGGAGTATTGACGGCGGCATCCACGTGTGCGGTTTGTTTTGCAACTTAGTGGCACCACATCCCCAGCCGCAGCATTTTCATTCGATGAGGGAACAGCCTCACGTCGTAGCCGTTCAAGTTCGGCGCCACCAAATATTTTTGAGCGTAAGATATACCGAACTCGGTCTGCCAGGTTTTGCTCGGTGACAGTAATAAGATGGCTCCAGCTCAGGAAAAAGACGATGCATCCTAGCCCGATACGCGAAACATCCAATTTCTCCCCCTTTCGCCCTAAAATACGCCCACAATGCGTTTGTATTCATATTGATTGTACCAACGCATGCGACGTACTCCACCAGCGGCGGGTGGCGATTGCTGGGTCTCTAAAGACCCTGCCGACACTAAGCAATCTGGTGGGGATGATGGATGCGAGGGGCTGCTAGGTGGTCGTACAGCACCTCGCGCTCGGCTGGCGGTTCGCATGCTGTCGCGTCCAGCGCCAGCTCCAGACGCGCCCCGACGACCTCCAGGCAGCGGCCCTTTGCGCATTCTTCTGTGTTCCATCATCCATACAGGGCGTCATTTAACGGGAGACGCCCAGACCCGGCGCCGTTTCATGGTTCGAAGCCATAAGCACAAGCAGGCACTTGTACCATCAATTTTTGCCGAGGCACGGCGCTCACACCTCTTGGCAAGTCGCTGACTGACTGCGCGGACGTAGCAGTTTTGTCACATAACCGTCACGTCAGCGGGCGATGGGGTCGTCACTTCCCTACGCCATTATTATTATTATGTGTGGGGTATCTATATAGTTTTCTCATCTGGTTGGGATGTATAAATATATAATTATAAACGAAAATGAAAAGATAAACATACAAAAATATCAATAAAATAAAATAAATACAGAAAATACACAAATAAATAAAAGCCCAACCAGATGGAAGCCCTCGGCAGGGGAGACCAAACGGCCGAGGGCTAGGGGGAAAGGGAAAGAAACCGACGGACGATGCGGGTGGTATGGAGGAGCACCGCCTTCTACATTTGAGCCCGGAGCGGTCCGTCACGGAATTTCAGTCGCCTCAGATGGCCAGAGAAGCTAACTGGGATTAGCCCATACGCAGAGACGACTACAGGAATAATTTCGGTTGGCAGACCACATCAAATGTCGGTCACCTCGTGAGCCAGGTCCAGATATTTTGATTGCTTATCTGTTTCAACTTTCACGAGGTTCTCGTCATACGGGTTGGTAATATCGACCAAAAATATCCTTGACTGTGACCGCTTACGATAAGCCTGATATTGTGCTGATGGATATCAGCACAATATCAGGCTTATTCGCAAGAATAGTCATGTCTGTGATGATGGCCCGGTCCCAGTAGAGCCTGGCACGGTCATTTTCAAGCACGGCTTCCGGCAAGTACTTGTAATACGGCAATTTCCGTTCCACGAAACCGTATTTCAGAGCGAGCTCCTGGTGTAGAATTCTGGCTACTAGGTTGTGCCTGTGCAAGTACTCAGAGTTAGAAAGCGCCGAACAACCGGAGATGACATGCCTAAGCGACTCACCGGGATGGCGACAAGCTCGACAGACGTCGACAGTGCCATTTTTTAGGATGTATCTCCGATAGTTGTTGGTCTTAATAACCTGATCCCGTATTGCACAGACAAAACCCTCGGTTTCCCCGAAGAGGTCACCGAAACGTAGCCAGTTCAGGGAGGCGGATGTATCTACTGAAGGGCTCATGAAGAGCCCTGTAGTACCTCCCATGGAGCTCCTTCTCCTTCCATACGGTCTCCCGGTCGGAAATGCTAGGCACTGCTGGGTCCTGCAATTGCTCTTTGGCTAAGGATAGAGGGGTAAGCCCTATATCACTAGAAATGACGTCATTATAGAATGGATCATCCGATATCGCCAGGAAGTAATCACGGTGGCTGCAAAGCAGGCCGACTACCCCTGTGACATACCCAGGTATCGGTATGTTTCAGCCTCGGAAATGGCCCTTAAGTTGACGGGCATAGATAAGTCTATGCCCTCAGAGTTAGCAACCCTTCCCCTTTCAACATGGAGGACCGCACACTTATCCGTCCCGAGCTCAATTCCAATAGAATTGCTAAATTCACAAGTGATGTTTAACAATTCCATAAGATGGGAGCGACTGGAGGCGAATAATTTGAGGTCATCCATATAGAAAAGGTGGGTCACTTTTGTACCTCCCTTCCGAAGCTGAAATCGGAAGGGAGGTACAAAAGTGACTTATTATTATTATTATTATTACTTCTTATGACACACAAGGAATGAAATGAGGTGATTGGTAGATTTTCTTACACCGTCACTATAAGGTCTGTACCACTTATCTTGCATACATTAAATTAAATCAGTACTTGCAGAAGGCAAGTTTTACTTTTGAACCATTAAACTTTTAAAATTCATGTATTTTTACTGTATTGCAAAATAGAGGTGTCTTAAGATTTTGTATTTTATTATATTCACCGGTAAGTGAGAAAAATTAAAAAGCTCTTCCCTCATGTTTACAAAATGTCCAAAACCTAGGAATACTAAATTAATTACATGCACGGCAGCTGCTCACGTATGCACGCTGATCACGTACAAAATCTAGTAACATTCATGAATTTTCATCTACGAATGAAATAAATCCGGCTTTCTACCGTCGTCTTCTATACTAAACTTCATGTTTGCAGTTACAACTACTGCACCAGTGCACTGAGTCCTGAATCATGGGTTCTCAATTTATACCAAAAAAATCCTCCAAAAATAATTTTGAACAAAATAGAACAGAATAGAATTGAATAGAATCCAGCTGAATCTAACGGAATGGAATGGTATGAATTGCAATAAAATGCAATAGAATAGAATATAATATAACAGAAAATAATAGAAAAATAGAAAAGAATAAAATAGCGCGGAAGAGAACGGAACGGAAACTGAACAGAATGATTTTATTAATTGTATTTTATTCAATAATTAATCTCAAAAATACTGAAATTCAAATATTAACCTATATAATAAAATCGTTTAATAAAAAGTCAAGTAATATACAGTTCATAAAACTAATTGATCCTTTCTAGTTTTCGGTGTGTATCAATCTTCTAACTATCCGCCTTCAATGTTCTTGCCACCTCTATGCTGACAATCTCTAATTATAGTCACAAACGTCCATGCCTGATATTGATACTGATATCGCAGCTTTTAATCGTCACTAACAGCGTATTTGTGACTGGTCACAACGTTTTGATTTAACGGTAAATCCCAGTATTATCCCACTATTGTCATTGTTAGTCTCACGTATCTGAACTACCATCAATTCACTACGAAAGTTGCGTAATTAACTCCCGCATTAGTGGCAAGGATCTGGGTTTCATTATTGACTCGTCTCTTAGTTGGGGTTAGTTACAGATGTCAGATATTTATTCTAAAATCACAGGCATACTTTGTTCTATCCATATGTTGTTTTTCTTCCTTTGACTAAGCTTCTTCTCGTTCAATCTCTCATTCTTCCATTATTTGAGTATGACGATGTTTGTCTCACTGATATTTCTCAGGAGCTGCTAAGCAGGTTGGACGGGTTACTTTATAATACCATACGATTTATCTTTGGCCTGCGCAAATAAGATCACGTTTCACAATTCTGCTCCCAACTAAAGTGGTTCACAATACCCCAGCGGAGAGATTTGCACTTGTCTATCCTATTTTCAATCTTAAATGATTCTTCCTCACCTCTTTATCTAAAAAAAGACTCTAGTTCTGTAGTGAAACTCATTCTCTCAGTCTCCGTTGTTCACACAGTTTATCTACTCCTCTCCACCACTCTGAGTTTGTATCAAATTATTTCACAATTACTTCCATTTACCTCTCTGGAACAAACTACATGTTAACCTGCGAATAATACCCGCCAAAAATGTATTTAAAATAAAATTATACAAACATATCCGTAACCTATAATTTAGAGTTAATTGACTTTCTTTGTTTATTGCAGCACTTAAGTATGTTTATATATACATTTAGTGAGATATATAAAGATAAAAATGTATATTTATTTATATATACATAATTGTACATATACAATACGTGTGTCAATTATAATATGTATTTAATACATATCTGCATATTTTATATATGCTTTGCAAGAGATATATATATATATATATATATATATGTAAATTATTAAATTTGAACATGACAATCTTATTGCCTATAACTCACTCTCTGTTCTACCCAAGGTTAGCTGGTAGAAAATGCCATATAGCATTAAGCTCACCTTTTATACAATATTTTTAGTGCAATAAAGAATAATATAAACAAATAAATTAATTGACGTATAATTGATATTCCTAGATTTAGTTACGTGTTTCTCATTTGTAGTAGGTTCTACATCTAATGTTATTGCATAGTAAAAATTGTGTTTAGCCTAAAGTATAATAGAATAGTAAAAGTATAATAATATATGAATCTCGAGTGGGTTGGGTCGACTGGAAGGACTGTGTGCTCGTTTATTATTCTATAAGAAAAAGTAAATTGTACATTGCTATTATGCGAGTAAACCACCGCACCGTAGACAAAGCTTA